TGGTTTAATGTCAATATGGTGAGATTTGCTTATTCGTTAAAGATGATAGATTTTATCTGTGTTATGAAATAAAACACGGGTTCGGTTAGCCAAAGACGATTTGCATAATGGATAACTAATTTATTTATCAATTTTTTTTTAATGAATATTGAGGTTTTCCCTATAAATTAATTACTCAAGCTGCGTCATGAGTTTATGGATAACTAATACGGGTCACCCGGGTAGCAATGGTTATGACCCGGTTAATGGGTGTTATGCGGGTTACCCAGGTAACCTTATACGGGTACAATCTCTATACCGTACTAAGATTTACGAAACGCTAATCGATAATTCAATAAAAACTCATAGCTTAATGTAATCACATGATTATTTTAACTTAAATTATTAAAAAAAAGTCTCCTGTGACCATTACTCACAACAACTGCATCTATGCGATGCGACCCTTGTTTTTTAAATATATACACTTTTATTAAATGATTTATTTTTTATTTCAATTTACAGAAAGCTAAATTGAAAACTCTAAAAATTTCAACAATCACTAGTCTAAAATTTGTTTAACATAAAAAATCTATTAACATAAAGTAATTTTAATTTAATTAATCGTTATAGCTTTCTTATAACAAATTACAACGCATGATCAACTCTGAAATTTTATATATGTACGTACCCTTTCTGATTTATTCCTAACCTTCACTAATTAAACATACATCTCCAAACATAGTATTGTTATAAGTATACATATTACTTATAAATACAGCTAAAACGGACCTGGTGATTAGTATATCTAGCCGAAGTTGATTTCTTACAATTGCAATCCTACAAGATTTTTTTTTTATAAGCATAGCTATTCTCTTTAATCCTCGTCTTCTATAACTTTGAAAAGAATCACTGTGTCAATGTAATCAATCATATTTCTAATTCGAAAACGAAGTTTGCTTAAAAGCGTGTTTGACGTAGCAAAAATCACACCATGTTCTTTCGCCACCATAATAGACTTCTTAGTAAACCCAATATTCATAACAATTACTCCTTGGACATCATACATTCTGCTAATGGCTGAAGTTTGTTCAATGTCGTTGTAACGGACTTTTCTGATATTGCATCCCATTTACATGTAAGAAGGAAATAGACATAAAACACTTGATCATTTGACATCATATCTTTATCGCGATCATTAGACAATGTACTGGTGGTAAAATTTTCGTTTATTTCATACTCTTCTTCTAACAGATTACGCATCTCGTTCTTAAAATGCAAGTGCGAATTATTAACAACCTCCTAAAACAAAGCAAAACAAAAATATTATTAGTACATCGTGCCATCATCATGTTTGGAATCTTGCCACTTTCAAGCCTACTCGCGCTGGACTCCGCAAACCGGTCTACACGGGCGATTCCATGTAGGGAAAAAGCCACGTACAGGCTCATTCCCGCAGCGTAACTTGCACCAGCTGCCCACTTAGCAGGCAATGCCAAGTGGATTCGTATAACGAATCTCACCTCTTGTTTATTTCTGGTTACATTCATCTTGAAATTAATTCCAAGAAGCCTGTTAGATGTTTTCTTATGTTTGTTATTTAAAAATGTGTGAAAAAAAAATTTCACGTTATTACTACCGCTATATATACGTTAATTTTTATTTATAGGTTTCCCTATACAATATGATATATAGGGTGAATTGCACGAGGTCAAAGGGTGTGCCCAGGAACGCGATGTGCCCAAAATCCAAATAGTCAATAGGCACGCAGCAAGCAATACTGGAATACTTATTTGGGTAATGGACTAGGAAAACCAATCTGAAGGAGGTTTTCCATTTTGAGAAATAGCGATTTATTTTTGTCTGAATTTTACCCCTGAATTTTTTTCCAGGTTATGCATGTTGCCGATCAGCATGTATAATTTTTTAAAGTTCATTAATGTTAGGGTTAACGTTTCGTATAAAGTTAAAACTAAGTGATTATATAGTAAAATTGCGTAAAGAAAACTTATTGTTAGAGCACTAAAGGTGGTTTATTATGCAGATGTTTGAGAAAAAAGCGATTTTTGGTCATGCTACGTTACACCTGATTCTCGAAATCTGATTTTTGTAGAACATCTATATAACCTGGCACAGATTTCGTAAATGCTTTATTTATTTAGCACTAGAGAGAAATTGTTTGAAGTTTGTGTATCTGTTATTTTCCAAGAGTACTATATCTGGTTTGTTTTAGAAAAGAGTATGTGACACAGAAAAAAACCGATTGTAGAAATTTACTCATACGTAGCAGCAAATAAACAATTTTTTAACCCCATTGTGGAGCGACGGTGGTTTTGTGTATCTGTTGTCATCTATTTTTGGCAATGCATCGACTTTTTTGTCAGTGATTCTCCTTGATTTGCTTTGTTTTTTTCCTTATTTTTTGTTGTCGTGTTACACGGGACTCATGTCGTTGTATGTTATATGTTCTCATGCGTGTGTGTGTTTTTCTTTGGGGTATACTCGTTTTTTCTGTTCGTGGTTGATCGTGCTTTTTGTATGCACCGCTTTACTCTGTTACGCTCTGTATAGTGATCTTATTTATAAAAAAAAAATCAATGGCTTTGATCTACGCTTTTTTTTCTTTTTACGATCTGGTTGATCTGGCTTCATCTTTTTATGTCGATCGTGTCGCTCTTTTCGTAGGATTCGCTGTTTGTGACTGTGATGCTCAATTATTATATGATGTTTGGGATAGTTCGATCTTTCTTCTGATGTGTTTGCTTCTTCACGATCGACTTTATGTTTTTATTTTTTTGTCGATGCGATGTATGCTTCGTATGAGTATCGTGTCTATCGGTGAATATCCGCATATCAAGATCAATTTTTGCAGCCTCAAATGATTTTTTGTGTCGTGTGCGTTGTTCTTGTATTTGTAGTTCGTTGGTTATTTCTCCTGGATACGTGCTGATTTAATGTGCTCATCGTTGATGTTTCTGTATTTGATGAACGATTGTTTTGCTTTCGTTGGTCACTTGCGGTGAATCTTTCTGTGTTTATTTTGATCTTATTCGAATATCATCCGGGTGTTTTCGTTTTTTTTTTTAGTATGGATGATATTTTTATGACTTTTAGGGTCAAATAGACGTACAAGGTTATGATTATCTGACTTGGCGTTTAACGATTTACTTTGGTTGGTCTTTCGCGATATTTTTTTTTTTTGTATAAATATTGCTTGAATTTTTCTTTATTTTTTCTGTACGTTTCCTTCTTGTTCTTCTTTACATTAATAATAAATAATAATAATCTATTAGAAATAAATAAATAATTAGTTCAAATTTAAAGTTAAATATTTGCTTTTGATAAGATAATGTCGTCTGTATTCGTCTCTTATTGTTTCGTTCAATCAGTCAGTGGAAACTCGAATTACTTGACCGGAACCGCTCTGTATAGGATCAATACCATGTCCGATAAATTTAGACAAATTACTTATAAAGGTTATATGAATAGTGCTGACTCTTTAATTACCGAATTCAAAAAAAATTGGATCGTTTTGATGGTGGGTCGATATGTATACGAAGAAAATGTAGAATATGTAAATCTTTTTTTTTTTTTTTTTTTTTTTGTATTCTATGAAGTAGATCGCTAACTTTCTGTTATCTTCAAGCTCACGTTAATTCAAAGCGTGCCTATGTCTGTTGAAAATGACGAGTTAACTCACGACGATCTTCCTTATTCAGCACCTTTGTTGTTGTATTCCTCTCCTATGGTGCCGGATTCTTATATCGATAGCGATAGTGATAGTGGCAGGAAGAGTTTTGAATTGTTTAGAAAATCTTATAATGGTGTTAATGGTCATAAGAATTTGGATACAAACGTAATTGTATCGTATAGTAATGAAAACAGAAGATACAATGCTTTGAAGGATAATCTACCCAGAACCGTTCTTTCCGTCGTAGGAAGATTGAAAATAGGCTCAATGAAGATCCCTCATATTATCGCGTCGGATATAGAGTGGAATTATCTGGGTAAAACCGCATCTAACGTAACTAACTCCAAAAATGTTTCTTAAGTTGACTTTGACAGTCAATTAGATGATATAGAAGAGAAACATGCGATTAAAAGGACGGCTTCAAGAAAACGGGTTAGAATTAATCCACCGACTGCTTCTTCCTCAAAAGCCCCAGAAGAAGATGTCCGAACATTGAATGATAAATTTTTGGATGCCGCCTCCCAAGTTAAGAATGGAAATCCTATCACGCAAGTCTCAAATAACGATGAACCTGATCCGATTGATCAAGATTAATATTGATTTTACTTTTCTGTTTTTTTATTTTACTTTTTTTTTTTTTAATGATTTTTCTTTTTTTTCTGTATTGTATTTATTTTTTATTATTTAAAATATTAAATATATTGTTATTACGGTAAAAAAGTCATCTTCGTGTGTAAATTCCGCTGATTTAACTTGAATCGATCATTTGAGCGGAAATCTTAATGTTTATCGTTGTTCATCTTTAATCGTCCTTTTGTTTGGATTTGCTGTCCTATCGTTAAGATCAGAGAATTCTTCGAAAATGATTTACGTTAGTGATCTGTTCACTAAAAAAAAAGTTTATGATATCAAACTTAAATAAATTGTTAACCCTTAAAATAATCAGCGACGTCAATAGAATTTCTATATAAATGGAACAATCGTTCTTTGTAAAAGAACCATCTTTTGAGTTATTTCCATACTAAATATCAAAAACTTTGTTCTGAAATATGTCTGAATATGATCGAAATTCTTCTGCGTCAAATTATTATGATGAATATGAAAATGAAAACTCTGACGATACCCGTTCCATTTTTTTTTCGTTTGAACCGTACGTTTACCGTAATGAAATAAATCAGAATCTATCAAATGCACCTACCCAACCTAATTTCTCTACTCATGACAATCTTGACGATTTATCCCTCTCGACACCTGAATCTTTTCCCCCGTGGGTTTCTTCGCCTAATCTTATAAGTCTTTTATCCAAATTTCAGACCAAGATATTGTTTGATCATCCAAGTGTTCCTTGCGCCTATTGCTCGATGCTTATGCTGGAATCCGCTGTCGTGTGGATACCCTATGACCAAGATGAAACGTATATGCTGACCCGAATTTTTCCTGATCTTTCTTTACGTCAACGAATAAATAGAAAAAATGAAGAACAAGTCGCTATTTATAATAGTTGCAAGAATCAAAAAACACGCCGTTATCCTCCGTTGCTGTCTTCTGTTCCTTCAGAGTTGAATAACGTTCCTATGTTTTATAGAAGATATCTATCACCTGTTCATTTGGATTGCTCGTTAGGTCGAGCTACGGGTTTGAACCGCTATACTAACTATCGTCACCTTAAAGGAATGATCAATATTTCTCACAATTATCGTTCTTTAGAATTGTATTCTGGCTTGGTTGGCGCTTATTTGAATGCTAATGAACCGCTAGATTGGTTTCATTTGTCGTTGACTACTGCATCTAATTGGCTTAAACAGAATAACGCTCTTATTCAAAAATACGCCTCCGATATCGTTATTTCTATTCCGAGACCAGAAGACTCCATACCTAATCTACTACCTTTAGCGTGACAATCTATCATCGATTCTAGTAACTTTTCTAATCTTCATCAAAGTACCCTTCACGTTGAAACACCCCGTCCGCCTGACTTAGTTGTTCCCAATGATTCATTCCCTCGTGAAGTTCATAACGAAGATTCTCATTATAGTTGCTTAATAGCTGATACTATACAAAATGATCGAATCCGTTTTCTGATTTTATTTGGCAATCCCGACCTTGAAGCTTTGATGTTTCTCGACCTATTTTCTATGGATCGAGGACATTATGAGGATGTTAAAAAACTTCTAAATTTTCAACCCTCATTAGACAGCTACGGGAAATACGTCAAATTAAGAATGCTATATCCCGATCCTCATTTTTATTTACATTGGTATTGGCCTCATTGGTCATATCTAAATCTTGAAAAAAAGTATAATTTTTAAAATCAACACAGGTTGTTAGCAACTCAGATCGTGAACCGTAATCATCATCCGACAAAAGCAGATTTGATCGCTAAGAGCTCTTATGGTAACTGGAACATACTTGATGAGACTAAAACCACAATGTTATGTTCAAACCTAAGAACCGCTGCCTCTTTTTTTAAGAAAAAACAACATCAAGTTAATACAATGATAAATGCATATGGCAAACCTCAGTTGTTTTTTACTCTAACTATGGCAGAAGACAAGTGGTCACACTTAAAAGTAATTTTATCTTCTACTGATAATAAAGACCTTATGTCAACTAACCGTCCATTACACATATATATGCACTACCGTAATCGATTAAATAATATTTATAAAAGATTATGGAAAAACCCCAATTTGGTTCGATGGGGAAAATGGTTACATTACTTTGAACGCGACGAGTTCCAAAATAGAGGAACAATACATACACACGGCTTTGCTTACACTGAAAAAACCATCCCTGAACTTATTTCTTTAAACACGATTCGTGCCCACGTTCCCGATCTTTATACCGAACCTGACTTGTATGAATTAGTAATGACGTTTCAAGTGCACCATTGTAATCAAAAATATAAAGATCAAGATTATAACGGTTTACAATGTTCTAAAGGTTTTCCCCAACCTTTATCCAGCACGACCTATTATTCTCCTAATCAATTACGTTATATTTATCGTCGTATTAAAAAAAATGATAGGTTTATCGTTCCCTATCATCCTGAAACTTTATTGATTTGGCGAGCACACATCAATTTCCAGTATATTACTTCAACAGGTTTCGCTAAATATATTACAAAATACATAACGAAACCTGAGCCTTCCGAACTATTTGATGTTGACAATGGAAACGATTACCGAAAACATGTGATAGCTCGAAGATTGGGTTCAATGGAATTGATGGTCCTATTATTACAATACCCCTTAATAAGGTGTTCGGTATCCGTACACTACCTGCCCTCTGCTCCTTCAGAACTATGCTCGCGTTCTGTTAAACCGATCCATTTGATAAATAATTTTTTGAATGATGACGATAATCAAGAAGATCGTGAAAACAATGAAGACACACCTTATTGGGATGATGCTATAGACAAATATTTTGATAGATCCTACGATGACGTTTTTCGAGACATTACTTATCCCGATTATCACAAAAATTATTCAATAAGATCTAAACCTCCAGGTCCGCATTCAACCCTGTTCTACTCTCATGATCGTAAAAACAGAGTAGTGGTTCAACGAAAATCACCTATCCTTATTCGATTCGCAACATACAAGGTAGAAGACGATGAACCCTTCTTCTACCAACATCTTCTTATAAAAATCCCTGCGAGATCGGATCAAGATTTGCTGGGAGAATACACTACTTATAGGAAACAATTTCATTCTATGTTCCCTATAAGATATGAACAAGCTATTGTTCATCTTCATAAGAGCTATCTAGAACAAAAGGATAGTTTGTTGAAATCGTATAACTCGATATTAGACTCCGTTCTACCCGATTTTGTAAATCTAAACTTGACTGAATTGATCTTTAATCAGCTACTCTCTTTAGAAAAACATCATCCTCAACTTAACACCAAAGCTTCGTTATCTCTCCATACAGAGCAATATAAAATTTATGATATGCTCTGTAATATATAGGGCAAATCGTCTGATAGAAAATATCTCTACTTTTTTCTAACCGGCCCGGCCGGGACTGGTAAAACCTTTATGGTTTTTCAAATAATTCATTTTCTCTAGTTAAAAAAAAAAAAAATCTATTACTTGCGTCCACCGGTGTTGCTGCCCAAATAATCGGTGGAAAAACCCTCTATTCTGCCCTAAAAATTAGACACTATGATGAACATTACGAATCTTTGACACTGTTGGATTCTAAAACTGTATCTGATTTGAAAAAAATCGAAGCTATCCTAATTGAAGAAGTATCGATGATCGATGAAGATTTATTAACGTTTACTAGTAATATATTCTCGAAAGTTCACAACAACAACCTTATATTCGGTGGTGTACCAACGTTACTAGTAGGTGATCTAGCTCAGCTACCTCCCATCCGACCAATCTATGTGTTCCAATCTCCTGCTTGGAAAAAATTTTTTCCTTTATTTTTAACCATACCCCAACGACAACGTGATGACGCTGACTTCTATAATATCTTGCAAGAAATCCGCGTAGGACGACTAACCGATAAAAGTAGACGTATGATTCAATCAAAAATCCACTCTGAAATTAATATTGACAAATTTTATAACACTATCCATGTCGTTGGTGTTCGTCAAGCAGCACACAAAATTAATACATTGCTCTGCAGTTGTCTACTGTTTGACAATAACTGTATCGATCTGATTATTTTACTATCCAGAGACACCCTTAATTACAAAATTCTAGACGAATCATATTCCATCCACCAATTCAAATATTCGATGAACTTACCTAAATCTATACATTTACAAGAAAGTGCCCGAGTGATGTTCCTGAACAACAAACTATTTGACGAAAATATCTGCAATGGTTCGATTGGTGTCGTGACTAAAATAATTGATAACTATAATGTAGAAGTCACTTTTCCTACTTTCACCAACGTAAATAAAATCATCGTACAGAAAGAAACTAACTACTTCGAAATTGATGGTAACCCAGCTTCCCGACAACAATTTCCGCTCCAAAACGCCTTTGCCCTTACCGTCTATAAAGTATAAGGATTAACATTACCTCACGTGAGAATAGTCATCGATGATCATATGTTTGCTGAAGGACAAGCGTACGTCACGATGAGTAGAGCAACTTCCTGAGAAAATCTTCATATTCTAAACTTTGATGAAAACTATATTAAACGTTCTAAAGCCGCCTTAAACGAATACAAAAGACTACATACGATTCACAGAAATGGCCTACAAAGTTTATGCTAAATACCATTTCTAACCCGAATATTTTTACTAATAACATATAGTTACTCTCCTAAAAAAATTACTTACTAAAACATTCGCTATAACTATAATATAATCAATCTAATATACAGCATTCTATATACTTTATTTACTTGTAATGAATTAATCTAATTAACTGCTTGATTTTTTTTGCCTTTTTTCCTTTTACTATATAACTATTAACACTATTATCAAAATTACATAATATTATTCATCACGAATAAATAACTATCAATACCGTAAAAAGACTTTCTTACTATTGGCAGTCTAAATCAATTTAGTTTTACATTATTTATACAATTTAAATTACTTTTTAAAAAAATAAAACTACAAACAATAA